CTCGCTCGACGAAGCTAACGAAAAGCAAGCACTGATCATAGACTACGAAAAAAGTAACGGTCTTTGAATATTTGGCAATATGATTCGATTCTAATAATAGCACTCTTTGAAAGGGTGCACCCAGGAGTTTCTTTCGCCAGTGATAGTCAGCCGTAACGTTGTGGTTTCTTTTTCTCTTCAGCTTTGTTAACGCTTGCTATCCACATACGATTCAAAATTGCAGAAAGTCGGTGCCGTGGGTAAATCATTGAGTTAAATGCAGAACAACAATGGTGATAGGATTGCGCCTTGAGGGACTCCGTGAGTTATAGGTAGAGTGTCGGAGTAGGCTGAGCCAATTCTCACGTATTGCCTGCGACCAGTTAAATAGCTCTTGAACCATTTGACAGTAGAGTGTGAGGCTCCTATGGTGAAAAGTTTGTGGAGCAGTCTTGCATGGTCTATACTGTCAAAGGCTTTGGATAGATCTAATAGTACTAGTGCTGTTATCAGCTTTTTATCCATTGCTTCGGGTATGTTATCCGTAAGCAGGATGTCTAAGGTCTCTGTAGAATGAACATTTTTATTGCCGCTTTGGTGTGTGGTGAGGCGATTGTTCTTTGTGAGATAGGCGCTGAACTGATTCAAGACAATCCTTTCAAGGACCTTTGAAACTACGGCTAGCATAGATATAGGTCTATTGTTAGCAGCTTTCTCATGGTCACCGTCTTTAAGAATCGCGATCACCTCAGCCTCTTTCCAGTTGAAAGGAAATGTACTAGTAAGTATGGAACAATTGATGATGTCAGTGAAAGGGCCCAATATGACAGGGAGAGAGTCTTTTAATACACGAGCAATGATCTTGTCCGGTCCCGGCGATTTATTCATTGGGAGAGATGTTACAATTTGGCGAACCTCTTTAAGTGATACTGTCCTTAAATTGAATGATTCCATAGAGGAAGTATCTGTGTCAGTTTCGGATGAAGAATCTCGGACTGTGATGTCATGTTCTTCCCTCAAGCGCTGTACTGCGTCAGCGGCATTTAAGCCGACTTTAGCCAAAAACTGATAGAATTTGTTGGCTAAAACTGTCAAATCCTTTGTAAAGGCAGGTCTCTGCTTATCTTTGGAGGGGATGGCACGATTTATAATTTTCCAAAGTGAGCCAGAGTTGTTTTTATTGGCTGTGACCTCTTCAAAGGTGTAATCTCTTTTAGCTTCTTGTAGCGTTTTCTTGACCAAGTCACGGGAATGTTTGAAATTTATCCACTCGGTGTCATGGTGAGACTGAATGTATTGCTTCAGGAGGAGATCTCGCGATCTCATGAGATCCTTGATTTCCTGGTTAAAAAAGGGGCAAGGTCTATTCCGTAGTTTAATTTGTTTCACAGGAGCGTGTAAGCTCAGGACAGACTGCAAAGTGTCATTTAAAATATTGAGCTTAGAGTCTACATCGGTTTGATCGAAGATAGAGAGCAGTGAATCCGCTTCCTTAGCTAGATCCGTGACAAAGAGATCCGCATTATACTTTTTGTAGCTTCGAGTGGTAATGTACTGAGGGGTGTACTGAGGGGTAGTCTTGGGTTTCTTAGCCATGACCTTGACAAAAACGATTGAATGGTCACTGATTGGTCGATGTATTACATCGCTATCGCACACTGGATTGTTGGAGGAAACTAGGATAACGTCAAGCAGGGATTGAGTGGTCGCTGTTATCCTGGTTGGTTTTGTGATGAGTTGTTTTAAGTTCATATCCGTATAGAATTTCTCCAAAGCCTTGAATTCAGTGCCAGTTTTCTTGAGGCCATCGCCGTTTAGGTCGCCTAGGATTGTGATCGGTTTGTCAAGCAGCAAGGCTTGGATATAACTGGGCTTAAGTACTTCTTCGAAGGAACTCAAAGGAGAGTCGTCGGGGCGATATGTCACGCAAATTATTATTGATTTGAGTTTCTTGCATTGGACGTTTATCCAAAGCTGATGGAAATTTCGGTCGGATATCGATGACAATTCCTTCAGTATAGATGATTTGAGATCTTTGCGGACATAGGCACATATTCCGCCGCCTCCTTTGTGAAGTCGATCTAACCTGTGTATATTGTAACCCTCAATTTGTATCTCTGCTGATTATAATAACGTCGCTATTCCTTTCAGATGCAAATTTCCGTAGTTCTAACAAGTGATCGCGATGTTTTATCGATCTAATATTCAAATGAAGGAGTTCAAGCCCACCGGGCGCTTTGGGAGGTTGCTTATTTTCTCCAAAGCGCTTTACTGAGCAGATTATAGAAACTTACTCCTCTCTCGCCGGGTTTATTGTTGTCAGATTTCCGTTGAAGATTAGAGATTGCAATATTATGTTGACGGTTTCGGACAGCCTGACCAGAGCGAACTCCCCGTGTTCTCAATATTCCATTGCTTTTCAGCAAATGGAAGGTTTCGTCTGGGATTTTAAATTGCCGTAACCGCAGTTGTAGAAGCTCATTCACCGAATCGAAATATGGCGTCCAATTTGAGTTACCATTGTTTTGGACTTACTAGCCTCGTCTTGACGTGGAAACACAAAAGGATTATCACATGTGTAAGAGGCTAGTCAGTCCAGAACAATTGCAATTCAAATTGGACGCCATATTTTGATTCGGTGTATATCTTGAATATTTAATGACATTTGAAGCACAATTATTCAAATTTCGGAAGCTGTTAGCCGATGTCTACAGATGGTTTATTTGAGAGTGTTCCGGCCTTTCAGGTCCTGGGTTGCTTTGAATATCCATATGAATCGTGAGGTCAAACTAGAATAGGCGTCCAGGAAGTATGAGCACTGTGCTTCCTTGTTTGCTGACTTTTGAAATCGAATATTTGATTGCAAAGACTGTAGACTCGATACGCTTCAATGACGGTCTGAAAAATAGGCCAGGGAAATTCCGTATACCTAGCGCAAAGGATTCCCCATTGATACTCAGTAGGTGGCAGAGGTTCTTACCACTTTGCAACTTGATAGTGGGAGGCTGAGACCATGGAATAAGTTGATTGAAGACCCCTAAAAGCGTGCTGCCATCTTGGCGCATACATTAACTCCTTGATTAATGCTTGATGCTGCCATTGAAATGCTCGAACAAGATCTTTACAGTGTAGCCCAATGGTGTTGTGAGAACTATCTACTTATCAACCCCGATAAAACCAAACTCCTTTTCCTTGGCACTAGACAGATTTTAAGTAGGTTACCGGAAGATCCTAGTGTGGTATTCTCGGGTAAAACACTGACGCCAGTAGACTCTGCCAAGGACTTGGGAGTCTTCCTTGACCCCCATCTGATCTACGATCACCACATTTCACGTGTAGTGCCATCTTGTTTCGCAAAGCTTTGTCAAATTAATAGAGTCAAAAGGAGCTTCGACAAAAAAACACTAGAGTTGTTAATAACGTCGCTAGTTTTTAGTAAGATGCTTTATTGCTCATCTGTATGGTCAAATACCACACTCCAGAATATAAACAGATTACAATCTATTCAAAATTTTGCCGGTAAGATCGTAACAAACTCTAGGAAGTTCGACCATGTAACACCTTTGCTTCGTGAGCTAAATTGGCTTCCTGTTAAAGAACAATTATTTTATAAAGACTCCGTTCTGACCTTTAAATGTCAGAACGGTCTTGCGCCTCAATACTTAACGAGTAAGTTTACCAAGCGATCAAATATACATACTTGTAACTCTCGTACGCGAAACTCTTTGTAGATTCCGCTATACAGAACGGCTACTGGCCAGCGCACTTTTTCCTATAGAGGGGCCAACGTACGGAATAACTTGCATAAAAAACTTAGGAAAAATGCCTCATTGGCATCTTTCAAGCGCGCACGGCAAGACACACTATTGAGGCAGACATTTCCTTTATAAGCTCTAGAACTTGGTGGAATACTATCTTAAATTCTGACCATGAGTTTTATCGTTATTTATGTTTTTATAAATTGTAAAAGGTTTGTAAATAGTTTCTGAAAAACCTCACTAGGATGTTACTATTAAAGATGATGTTATGGTTTCATCCACAGCCTCATAAGCCGAGTTTCCTCCAATTGAACAATCATATTTCTTTTTCGTTACGTATATTTCCCAGTTGAAGCTACTCGTTGCGGATGACTTGTTTAATACAAAAGCGCTCTGTCTCTCTGGTAAAACATACTGTTGAGTTAATTTGGTTTTATCACTGAACTTAGTTGATAAAATAATTTTACCACCGTAAAGAATTTAAAGCCAACGTCTCGAGCGTTAGCCTTTCGTCAGAGTGAATGATGAGGGGCTAAAGCTCGAAACGTCTACTTTTAAACTATTTACGGTGGTTAATTTACATTATCAATTCTGTTGATAAAACAAAATTACCTTGTTACCCAAACCGACTGGCGTAGCACTACAGTTTCTTTAAAAACTTACGGCCCCTGTTGAAGTCCTCAATGTAATAACTTTCTTAAATGTAAGAAAGTCCAAAATTTAATAACACTTTGTCCTAAATGTAATAAAATTTGGTCCTATATGTAAGAAGCCTCCTTAACTGGGCTTGTGAAAGGGCTGCGAGAGACGTAGCTTTGTATCAAAAGCCCTTTCACACGATTTGGCTCGTTCCTTAGCTTCTAATACTGTAATCGTCAAATTACCAGTGCCCGGTTTGGCTATCAAACGAGAATGGTGATTTGAAAGGCAGTTTAAGTAACCTCAAAGCGACCACGCGGTAGTTTCAACGAAGCTGCACTGATATCCACGGGCAGGATCTTTTCGCTCAATAAAGTCGCGCTCCGTGTATTCTTAAACGCCGTTTGATGTCAAAACAAGAGTCATAAAAGTTCGTTTGTAGATTCTCAACGAAAGCAAATAAAATCACGAGTGGAGAGCGCTCTTCTTGGTCACACAATACTAACAAATTTCAGAATTGCGTCCGCCGCCCTTCCACAAGATTACCATACCTCCTTGAGTTCATATTCATCATATTCAATGTATTACAAGGTACTAAGGTACATAAAAAAGTCTTTAACCAACCTGCTCAATAACAGCCCTCGTTTCCTCTCTACCTGCGGCAAGCCTCAAGTCTATATTGTTTTCCCTCCAAATTTGAAAAGACTAGACGCATGGCTGCGTGAACTCGGGCTTCTTTTGTTTGAAGTTGTTGTGAAATATGATAGCAGGGTCATAATGAGGTATATGGGATCAGGGATCAAAGACCGAAAAAAGGGTGGGATCCGGGATTACAGCCCCTGGGATCTGGGATCACAGCCCCCTGGGATCGGGATCAGCGGTGTTTTTCATTGGATCAAGGATCAAGCGTTCTGGATAACAAAAGGAATTCACCACGCGCACCTTAACAAGGTTTTTTTTAAAGCTTCTAAAAAAACTTTGGTTCATTTCATACAGTAATCCTTGGTATTTGGACTAGCTGACTGATTAATCTGTTGATAATTCGCCAGGATTTTCTTGTCTAACTCGCACTGGATGACATTCTACTTCATATAATATGTCATATAAACACGTTAGAGCGCGTGTTGTTATAGGTATAATATCTATCTAGGTGACAAATTACTCCTTAATTTTGGCGCGAGATTTCAGCGTTAATTTTTAATTTCACATGTGAAATTACAAAAATTACCATGGTAACATCTCTTGTATCTCGATCAGAGCCAAGATCGCGTCGAGATTTAAGGCGGCAACCCTTGAAGAAGTTACGAAATTAAAAGAAGCGGCCGAAAATTATTAACAGGGACGAAGAATTCGAAAGGTGTTTTTTGTGAAGAAACTCAGAAATTTACGAACTTTAACAATAATGTATGCTTTAAACGAAAACTATATTCTTCTTCATGTCCTCGGTTTTCGATAGAATGAACCAGTAAAAATAGTTACGGTTGTGAACGTAATTTGTCACCCACTATATTAAAAGGTAATCAAATGATTTTCTCGGGAAATTAGGGAAATAATTTCACTTGCGTTTTGTCAAAATTCTGATAATTTCCCGAGCCTTGTTAATTTTCAGAATTTTGACAAAACGAGCGTGAAATTATTTCCTAATTACACTCGTCGCCATTTGATTACACATACTAATTTTTGGAACGCAAAAGTCAACTTTTCAGAACGGTTTCTTTTTTATTCAATGGTGCAATGGGGAAAAGAAAGAAGAGAAAAGACGATCGCACACTTAGAAGGTAAATTGATGTTAACTTTGACTTACGGTTTTTTCATGTTAAAACCAGCAATCTTTTGGCAAAATATAATTTCATGAACTCCACATTAATTCTAGGTCACGTTCCTGGTCGCCCAGCGGAAAAGGCGATCAACGGCATGAGCGAAGCTGAAGGCGGCGTTCATCGAGCAGGTAAGTTAGGTTTATGACTTGTTACCAATCATTACGACCAGAGTATACATAAAATTGTTTTTAAAATTGCAAAAAGCCCAGACACAAAACCATGATCTAAAAACCGATAACATATAGACAATCGATAGCACCAATTTGTGAGTTACGTTTTCCTTTCCACTTCGTTTAAAATCATACATACATACATCTGGGTTGACTGCCAAAATCTCGGATCACTGGCTAACTGGAGCCCTTTTTGTAAGGAGGAGACTTTAGATACCTTTCAATTCTGTGTGTGAATCCAAGCAAGCTGGATTTAATTTATGGCTCCCCTTTTTGTTTTCGCGCTTGAGCGTATTAAAATCGCCTCACTTCAGCTAACCAAAGTTAGTAGAGCTGACCGATCGTTATGTTTTCAATCGGTATTTGTATAGCTTTCTCTGAGAACCATGCTTAAATTGAACACGTAAATGGCTTTAAAAAATTCTTCTCTCTTACTTTCGTTATTTAACAAAATAAAAACAGACAACCGAGGCTGGAAAATGTTAGAAGTGTAAGCTTTATTTGTGCACGATGTACTCGCACCTTTAAGCCGGCCAGAGTAGTTTACAATGATAGCTTGTGCAGAAGTTTATTGTCGCCAAATCGCTGACTCAGAAAAGAACTCTCTAAAATTGCTGCTATACATGACGTATCTCGAAAGTTTGAAGACCAGTTTGTTGTTCTTTTGGTCTTCTCCGAGCGTCTCTCACTGTTCAGCCAGCTGATTCAGCTCCGGCTCGCTTAAATTAGCAAAATCTCTTAGCTAGAGGGACGTGAGAAAACTTGTGCTCGAATCGGTCGAGATGGCTGGATATTGGCCTCGCTCTCTTTTTGCGTTTTTATGGACCTCGACTTCGTCTCGATCCATAAAAACGCTAAAAGAGAACTTAGCCAATATCCAGCCATCTTGACCTCGCGCTTGGTCAATAATGCATACATGTATATAATTTGAATATATCAACAAAGTTGAAATGGTAAATTGGCCACCGTTACGATTATAAAAGCTGACGTTTCGAGCGTTAGCCCTTCGTTGGCTAACGTCAGCTTTAATAATCGTAACGGTGGCCAATTTACCATTTCAACTTTGTTGATATATTCAAATTATTTCGTTACCCCCACCGACGCAGCCCCAAACAGTTTTTTTTAGAAACTATGAGCGTTTATTCAACGCATACATGTAGTCTTGCGGCCTATCGATAAGTCATCAGTGACTAATCAACTGATAACCCATCGATTACTTACCGATTAGTCGTTGATATCAGTGATGTCCTTTTTGTAGTCAATTTTCGTGCCAATTGACCATGAAAGAGAAGTCATCGACGTATTCAGTCATCGCCCTTTGAAGGTAAACTCGGCTGGTATACGGTAAATTCAAAACTGCAGTGTTCCAGCATGTTTAACATGTTTTTCGGCTCATTATCAATATTTCACGTGGTTCAGAAAGGTGAGAAATTTCTCCTAAGTCGAAACGAGGAGCAGAGCAACACCTAAAAAACTTGGCTAACGGGTCCGACGAGGATGATTATGAGAGCAGTGGTGAGGAGGAAAGTGATGGTTACAACCGTGAAGACGACGATGATCAACCGACGCGTTTCGAAGCTGGACGCAGTAGATCCGGCAGGAGAGTGACACGATTTTTGTTTTAACGAGCTCAGAAAAAATCCCGGGCCTTTCCAGAGTCAAACTTTGCTCAAGTTTTCTCGATAGATACATTTCAATAGATTTCTTACAAAGAAGGCAATGTAGTCACGCGTTGAAGACCAAGTTTGAAGCATGACCAAACGATGTTTTTCTAAACGAATGGTCAAGAAAGGTTACTGCGATAAATACGTTTTATTCCAATGTTGGTTATGAATATGAACTTTTTAAAATGTTAATGAGGCTAATATTAACGTCAATTTCAAGCCTTCTTTTTTGTCAGGCGGATGGAATCGAAAGGTATCAGATCTTTCCGGAAAATTTGTTTCCCTGTGTTTCCCTAAAAAGTTTAGGAATTGTATAGTATCGCACTAGTTTGTTTTGAATTTAGGGAAATTAACCTTATAGTTAAATTTGAGCAAAATCAAGAATGTTTACACGTGTCAACGAAGTGTCTGACCCTTCGATGATGGTTGTGAAAGGTTATATTCTACAATGGTAAAGACGAATAAAAGAAGTAGAGATCGAGTAAATTCAGGTAGGATCCTATTAAATGCTTTGGGTCATTATAATATAGTGAAAGAAATGTAAAGTAGCATATTTTTATAGTCTAATAATGTTACACTGGTACAATGAAGAGAAAATGCCTTGGGATCAACAAAATTTTGCGGGATCAGGGATCAAAATTCTCATCACTTTTGGAATCAGGGATAAAAAATTTGGGTAAAATCACGGGATCAACGATGAAAAAATATACCCCGTTACCACCCTGAGTTTCTCCCAGGCTCAACGGGTGGAGGATTCCCAGAGTTCTTGGCAGAGCCAAGTGACTCTTTCTCGCACGGAGTGCGAGTCAATCCTAGAGACCAGTCCTCTCTCAGAATTGGGTGAAAATTGCATGGAATACATAAAGAAGAACCTTACTCATAGCCAGGCGATACTATTCCGTGAACTTCCAGCTGAAACAGGGGAGGACCTTTCAGCCTTAACACAGGGAATGAAAGGCAGGTCTCTGAACTACGAGGGTGGTACTGCGCCCAGACCCAAGGAAATGAACAATTCGATTCTGACATCTACTCTGCCAGTGCTGAGCCTGGACCGTACACCATCGAGTTACACAATGAAATGTCCTATCTCAAGACTTTCCCCAAGAAGGTATTTTGAGACTAAAACAATTTCCACTGATACTGAAGTACGAGATCGCATCCTTCATCCCATTTATTGTTTCCTTCATGCCATTGGACCTTACCATCATAGCATTTTATCGTATTTCCATGCAACTGAAAAAGTCTTCCCCGTCATTCTACCGTAACTGTATACCGTTGGATCGGTCCTTCATGCCATTGGCTCGTACCTCCATACCATTGGCTCGTACCTCCATGCCATTGGCTCGTACCTCCATGCCATTGGCTCGTACCTCCATACCATTGGCTCGTACCTCCATGCCATTGGCTCGTACCTCCATGCCATTGGCTCGTACCTCCATGCCATTTTTCGTATCTTTATACCATTTAACTATATATCTGTCTGCCATTAGATCGTTTCGCAATGTCCATGTAATTCTATCCTTCCTGAAGGAGGATACTAGACTAGTCAGGTGATATTGGTCTGCGGATTTCCAGCTGAAACATGCAGCGGGGGACTTCTTGGCCTTATCATATATTAACTGTCACACGTTACTAAAAATTAAGTCAAGGTCTTTTCAGAGTACGTCATTGGAGTACAAGGTGGGAGGAGCCGTGGAAGATGGATTGATCAACACTCAGATGCAGAGAGCACCTCCCAGCGAGGACGACCACCATTCTAAGAACAGAATATATCTTTGTGCAGTACGGTGCACAGAAATCTCAGTTGATCAACAATTTTTTTTCTGAAGCTGAAAACAGGTTTGAAGGATGTTTTGAATTTGAAGTATTGCAACAACTGGTGACAATAAATATTGCACAAGCCCGGCCAGTTTATACAGACCCTGCGGATGTGAATAACTTAAAATTCTCTGCCATAGTTGTTTTTGTTTTAGAGGAACTCAGTCTCTAAAAACTTTTCTTAGATTGGCGATCCTCCTTGCTAAAAGTTCCTCTCTGGATTTGGGTGTTGATCCATCCATCGTTCACGGCTCTCTCCACTGACATTGGCATTGGAATAGCATAAAGATACGATCTAATGGCTTGCAGATATGATCCAATGACATGGAAGTACAATCTAATGGTAAACAGTTTAAATAGAATGGCATTGAGATACGATTTAATAGCTTGCAAATATGATTCAATGGGATGGAGATACGATCTAATGGCATGAAGGTATCAGTGACTCAATGGAATGGAGGAACGATCTAACGGTAAGATATTGCGATCCGATGGCATGAAGCAAACGATAGAATGAAATAAAGGCTACGAATATATTGCATTTTTGTACAGAATCCTCCCCCATACGTCCCTCCGTAAATTCTTTCATTCGTCCATTCGTTTGTTCTTTCGTTCGTTCATTTGCTCATTCACCCATTGCTTTATTGCTTTATTTGTTTTGCAGTCACGTGTTTATGCATTCATGTTTTCATGTGTTCATTCGTTCATGCACTCATTAGCCAATTTCTTGATTTTTTCATTCGTCCATTCTTTGATCCGTTCAATCATGTTTTTCCATTCATTCATTTATCTTCTTCTCTAGGTATTCTTTTTCTGCCTAAAAGAGCCTGGCGAGAGTTGTGGTAGCGAGACACCGCTGGCTAAATGCAGCGACATTGTATCCAAACTTGATCCCAAAGTTGCGAAAAAGTTCGAAGAGAAAGGAATCATATATGCACGACATCTGCCGGACAAATCACGATCAGAATACATTCCCTGGCAGCATCAGTTATACACTGACGAGAAGAAGGTAATACAACTTGGTTCATATTAGGTATCCCATACACCGAATCGAAATATGGCGTCCAATTTGAATTGCCGTTGTTCTGGACCGACTAGCCTCTCACACATGTGATAATCCTTTTGTGTTTGCACGTGAAGACGAGGCTAGTAAGTCTAAAACAATGGTAATTCAAATTGGATGCCATATTTCGATTCGGTGAATGTAGGAGTTCGATTTTCTTTTGAAGACAAAAAAGAATTGTAAAGATTTAAAACTGAAATGATGATTTTTAATCTCAAACTCTTGAATTTAATTTACATTATTGACCTCATTTAATCTTTTAGGAAGCAGAAATAGAGCACAGAAGCAAGGTTACTCTCATTTAATCTTTTAGGAAGCAGAAATAAGAGCACAGAAGCAAGGTTACTCTCATTTAATCTTTTAGGAAGCAGAAATAAGAGCACAGAAGCAAGGTTACTCTCATTTAATCTTTTAGGAAGCAGAAATAAGAGCACAGCAGCGAGGCTGCGCAGTAAGATGGGACGATTACGGTGATATGCACCTGACTTACAGCGCGCCGGCCTTTCTTTCTCACCCAGTGACAGGAGAAAATATCTGGTCAACCAAGCTGGAGCTCACCATTGTACTTACTCGACAGCACTGCCACTGTACAAAGGTTCTGATCTCCCGGATTATAAATATCCCTGTCACACCTATTATGGAGGCGGAAGTGACATCGAACCGGAAGTGTTGCAAAACATCAGAGCAGTTTCATGGTCATGCGCGGTTGGATTTCGGTGGAAGAAGGGCGACTTAATAGCGCTTAATAATCTGAACGTTCAGCATGGACGAATGGCCTTCACAGGAGAGAGGAGAATACTGGTGCAGATGACGGCAGACTGAACCTTACATTAGCGCCTTAACCACGAATTAATAGTTAAAAATCCATTTTTGGAATGAATGATCCATTATATTTATTTGACTGAACCTTACCTTTAACTACGAGTCTTCACTATCGTTTTTTTTTTTTTTGTTTTGTTTCATTTGTTTGTAGAGGGGTTTGCCATGATATTTAAATTAAATATCATGGCCAAGTTTAGCGCTCGACCAAGTTTAGCGGTTAGTAGACCCAACTTCATGACACTTAACGAACCCAAACATAACACTTCATGACACTTAACGAACCCAAACATGACGCTTCATGACACTTAACGAACCCAAATATGACACTTAGCGGAGGGTCTTCATGGACTGATGGCTTCTTCGGCAGACGGTCAAAATTTTGGCCATTTTCCGGCCACGGTTAACCCAAACTGACACAAAATGGCATTTCAGAAAGAAAACAATTTTGTGGCTAAGTTTTGTAAAGACTTAAGGTTAAAATCTGTCGATTTTACGCCCAACAACTTACTTTTTTTTGGCCGTTTTATGGTTAACGGATAACCCCTTTGAGACCCTCTCAGTGCGTAGTCATATTGCCCAGCTTACACTTGATTGATCAGTCATGCTGATAAAACAAAAGACTTCGGGTAGTTGTACGTTTTAAAACAAACTAACATGCCAGATGGTGTCCATATTCTTTCACAAGGTTAGTGAGTTGTAACTAGTTAAATTACGGAGTCGGTCTGTGTTTGGCAGAGGTAGCTCAAAAGTTTGTTTTCTTCGCACTATTTGGTGGTGATCTATTATGTACTAAGCTGAATTATGTATGCATTTGATTGGTTTCTACCCATGATCTACCAAATGATAGACGCAAAGATGACGTAACCATTAACAAAATTTTGCTTCTTTATTATATGAAAAAAGATTTTAAGTTGTCGTGTCTGTTCGCTAATATATCACAGAAGACGTTAGAACATCACTGACACTTTTTTGTTCTTCAACATTTTGACGTCATTTGTGATCTATTACTCAACCTCTTTCCCAGGGACTTTTCCCTCTGTTGGGAGTGGGTTTGGCGGGAAAAGGCACTGGAAACGAGGTTGATCTATTACCGACCATTACTGATCAGACGCAAGGCAACATGAAAAATAGGCTGCTAAGACTGCATGCGGCTAGTACTGCCGCATCTCACCCCACATATTTATGAGCACCCAGTTCCACAAGAGAAAGATGATTCGAGGATATCGTGAATATAATGACTAAGTGACATTCAACCACCAATAATAATGGTAACAAATAATCATATTCAAAACAATAATGATGATGATAACAGTAATGATAACTTTTAAGGGTGAGCTCAAGAACCTCACTTTTCCTCTATTCTCTAGGCTCCAATAATGATTAAACTAGGCTTTTTTCAGTTTAACTTTAATTTTTCCGGTCAATCATAAATTATTTTCTTATCTCATTGCAATACCATTTTTGTGAGACGTTTTTTTCATACAACAAAGAATTCCACGTTGTATAATATTCCGCCGTTCCACAATTCCACCATTTCATAGGGTCATTGTTTAAATCAAGGTTTCGTATCAGTTCGGACCTTTGATTGCTTCGCAAATTTAGTGGCTTTCATAATCATTTGTCACCTTTTGAAATGGTAAAATGTTCTCTTTCCGAAAAAGTAAAATTTTTCTTCAATGCTTCCACGATGTGTAGATCAAACCTATCTAGTTATTTCTGAAAAGAAAAGTCTTTTTTCAATTACGTGCCGGAGACGCCACTGTGAAATTATTTTGAGATGATTATCATCTTTTGTGGAGTTACAGCAAGAACTGAAAAAATTATATCTTCGCATCTACTGGGCATAATTCCCTGATTCAAACGGTGAAATGCTCTCTCTTCAAAGGAAAAATTTTCTCTTTAAGTTTTCATGATGCACCGACTACACGTTCCACACGACTACATTTCTGCAAGGTAAAGTTTTGGATTTTTACCCGCCATCCTGAAATAATTTTGAGATACTTGTCGTCTTCTGTAGTATTCCGAATCTAGCTGCAAAGGGCCTATTGGGAAACAGTGTGATTACGTGCTAATTCTTAGTAACATTTGGAGCGATCTGAAAAAATCGTCAACAAGCGTTGAGCGACCGAAACTGTTCCGAAACAAACAAAAGCCAAGAACGAGGAACATCGGGTAAATTTCGGCAGACTTCGTTGTGGGCTAAAAGGTCGTTCGTACTCTGTCTTTAGTCCCCTCTTGGATGTCACGCGGAAAACGTTGCGTGATATCCTGGAGAACGACTACAAAGGAGAACCTCTGGGAAACACGCACCGTCTGAAAATCTGTCGAGAAACCCTTTGGTATATCGAAATGATAATTTCTAGTTTGATCCTCGTGATTTATCTGTCATGAAAGCGAACAGTGCTCGTGACTACGCGCACGTACATTCAGGTAGAATCGTACACGTGACCTCAGTTGACATGTTTTGCCGGCCTCTTGCTCAGGTGATAAGCAGGCATAACATTTGCATCTTGAAATCTTACGGAAAACCACACGTTAAACCGTCTCTCAAAGGATGACCTAAAGGAGACCGGCTATTAAATTAATTCTATGCTAGGTGAGTTGTATAAAAGTTATTTAATCTTAATCGTGAGTGTTATCACGTCTATCGGACGATTTTTTTTATGCTACACGCGACGACGATAGTTGACATATTTTGGCGAGGTCTTCCTCAGGTGATTCAGCACACAATATCATACGAGAAACCCACCTTAAGACGTCTGTCGAAGGAGAAACTAAAGGAGAACGTCTGTGTATCAATATTTTGGTAGGTAAGTTGTATTTATGTCATACTT